CCCTGCCCCCTACACCTGTTGGTGTATGCTCCCTGTTGGTCGGACGGGTAGTGTGGGCTGTTCAGTTGCCGACATGGGTGTGTCGCGAGCTCCCCAAACAAACCCAGCAACGGTGGACTGTTATTCATACACCAGCTACTCCACCTTCTTAGGTGAGTGCCTGGAAGAGTAATTGATAAGTTCGCCTGACGCGGTAAAACTTGATGGTAATTTGATTTTGTTGAAAAACAGTTGTGCAACCCATTTAATTTTTTAGTCATGTTGCCAGAACGGCGTTTTATCTTATTCTCTCCGATGGTTTCTATTGTAGCGCTGATTTTATTCGTCTTAGCTCAGTTTGCTTCATTCCTATTACGGCGTTGCCTGTACTGCACCTGAGAGTAGTGTTGTTGTTCTACAACAGGGCACGTTGCCAGTCCTTCCCCAGCCTGAGTGGACAGATGATGTCCATCAACCGCCGTTCTGTCATCCTATCGGTTTTCCCGTGCATTTCCATTCGGGTGCGACACGTGGTAAACAACCGCCACACCTTGACAGGCAAACGTCACTCTATTTGTTATTCACTCGACCTATGGCACGGATTGCTCTTGATAGCTCCGGTGTGTTGTCCTGGTGCCACCAGCTATATCTAGAGTTCTGGTTAACTCATGAATAGCCCTGTGTTTTCCAAGAACCAACTGCTGGGCTTCACGATCGGACCCAGAGTCTTTGGTCAGAGCAAAACCGTGTCGGTACGTCAGCAAAAGACCTCGGTCCATATTTCTGACTAGACAGCGACGGTGGCCTCTCTCGCTGCTGAAACGCAAATCGAGGGACACTTTACGCGACCTGTGCATTGTACGCCCATGCAATATGCGTTCGCGTTTTGTGTTATTCATCGGGAACATCTTGTCGCCATTCATCGAACGCTTTTGTGCTTGCAAATGACACCGCACGGCCATTATATTCATGCGCGGCTGTGAGTGCGATGGTAATTCTGCGCGGCCGACTTGGCGCACCGGGGTGACGCATGGAGGAACGTCGCTCTCGTAAAACGCTGCGATTTGTACGCTTCCGATCGCAAGTGTCGTAAGGCGGCCTTTTGAAGAAGTGTTCCGTCTGTTGAGGAGGATTTGTGGACGGCTCGGGACGGTTACTGAGGAGTATCGGAAGGAGAGGGGCGTGGGGGGGGGGCGCTACTGTTCTGTCAGCGGTTGGTAGGCGCAGACAGGAATATTGATGTGTATGTGTGTTTCCTCTCAGACAGTGGTCTGTGGGAAGAGGAAGAGGGACGAGGAGAGGAAGGCCTCTCCTAACTAAATCGCCTGTCATCGGGCTTGAGAGATGAGATACTCCACAAAATTCGATCGGTTCCTTGATTATTGATGCTCTACTTTTTGCTGTTTCCAATCATAGCGCAACTGATGGAATGTATGACGTATCGGCTTATCAAGATTTGTAGTCGGATGCGCAGCACAGTTAAACATTGGCAAGTTTACGATAGCTCGAGAATTATCATGGCAACATTAGAGGCCTGATTTAAGCAGCTACTTGAGGTCTGGAACTCATCTTTTGCTTCGGATGTTTGGTTTGCCCCAGAATGACATACTGTCGGTTACAGTAACTTATCCTCGTAAGCAGCATTCGTGCGGTATCTATTTACAATGACTACCCAAAACTTTTGTTCCTGTAAATTTGTTGATATTTTGCACACTAGCGCAGTAATTTTGAATAGTTTGGTTATAAGACTTCAAATACGCTCAAAAAGATGAGCCTGAATTTTTACGAAGCCTACAGCTGTTTGTTTTTCGAGCGCCGTCGCTTGTGGAGCAGCCACAACGGCTTCCGGACAAATTATCACCGTCATGTCACGAAGAGTTGCGGAATGGGGATGTCGAGTCATGACCAGTTGTCAAAAGCTACCAGTAATTCTCCGTACCTCTAGCCCTGCGCTTTGAATGGTTTCATCCCGCTGAGTGAAATTGTGTCACCGAAAGTGGCATTGCCAGTTCGATATTTATACAATACTGTGTGCCTGTTTGATGTGACTTAAACGACTTATCCAATGGCCTGGAAATCACTAAGCTAAGCGAGGAGTCCCATGAGGGTTATTGGTTGGATACGTTGACCTTCTATTCGACTCACTGAGCAACCCTGCCCTTTGCTTTTACATGTCCACTGTCCATGTTTCTGCTCCGCTCTAGTGTATGAATTTGCGTAGCTATCTTCTGAATATCGATTAAAAGGTAAGCACCCTTTCTGAATCGTCTTCTCTGGATCTGTGAACGTCACTTTTAGTTCACAATGAACTGTATTCCGAGTACTCTGCCCTCGAATGCATTAACATTCCATGCTCACGGGCTCTCCCAAAGTGCACTTCAGTCTTGTCATCCTCTGAATATAAGATGATCGACTTGGTACCGATATGTTCCATAGTGCCGTTACAAGTCCAGATAGCCGCATGCGTATCACAATGCGGACTCTGTGCTGCTTGGACAGTGTCCGCCGCTTTTGTGACTTGTAACTGATAGCGTGTGCGGTTCTGGCAATAGTTCATTCATGGGTCGAAACCCCCTTGGGTGAATTTCGTTCTAGTTGATTCCAGGGATTTCCATCGTAGAAGCTTGCGAAAGAAAATCCCTGGTAATATGTTATCCTGAAGTTTCTACTGGCTCTAATTTGTATATGTTTGACCGCATTTGTTTTAGATCGGACCCAGTCTCGCACTATCAGTTATTCCTTGTTCCGGATATTTGCCAATCACAGCAGCGAAATTCCTCATATATTCGCACATTGCAACACCGCACCCACATTGCAACTTGATTGCAAACCTATGTTCGCGCCCGCCTAGAATTCCTGGCGGCATTGCCGCCGCTGCCGCTGCGGCGGCGGCGGCCGGTGTGCAGCGGGACAGCATACCCGTCCAGGCGGCTGCTGAGAGCTCCGCGGCCGCCCGTAAAGCCAAGGCGCGAGGCTCGGAGCGTGCGGTAAAGAGGGATGGGGAGCGTCAGCTTGATCTGCAGTGCTGCGGAGTGTTATTCCGGTCATTAGGGAGATACTGGGCTTGGGCACTGTATGACTGTGCCACGGCTGTTCTAAATTTCGTCTATGTTTAGTTTATTTATGTCTCGGCTTCTTATGTTTATTTGACATAGATCGGACCACGCGGTTTCAAAACACGCGTCGCGCATGGCTGGTCTCTACTTCCTGATCGGTTACTGAGTCGACTCTGAACTACATTATAAACCCCATCTGTTCACCATTCTGTCACGCCGCTACCGTTTTCTCCAGTCTGGGTCAGGGTCAAGAGTCAACGTTCAAATCTCTCTGTAACATCTCGACTGCCTGTCATCCTCCCCCCTTCCATCCGCCTACCGAATCAGAATGCCAAACGGGAGTGGGCGACGCATATCAGTAACCCGGCCCGGCCCATCTTCCATTCTGCGACTGCTTCTGATTTCCGTCAGCGGCGAGGTGATGTGTAACCTCGACTGGCCCCTCTCAAAGCGTGGTCCATTGTGTCTCACCGATCGGCGTGTGTCTTTGACAGTCATTGACGGATGCTGACAGATGAGTGTGACAGATGGGCGGCTGCCGATGTGGGCAGTGCCGTTAGTCAGGTGCTGGTGTTCTGCCTGTTGCCGCTGTTGTCGGTACGCCCCGTTTGGCAGTTTGTGGACAGAACAATGGGACGCGGGGGATGTCGGTGCGGGCCTTAACGCAGTCGAGGTGGCCAGATGCGTGCGGCGGCTCTTTTGATCGGGTGTGGGGGGGCGTGAGGTGCCAGATAGGGGTGTCAGTACCTTGGCATGGTGAGGGAAGGCTTACTGATGATTATGGGGGAACGACAAAGTTGCAGAGTCAATGCATGCATGGCATTATTTCTGGAAATTTATGGAAAACTTTGCTCTTCATTACAATCATTTTTATCATCATCGTTTTCAGTTTGTTTGTTTGTTTCTTTTATCTCTTGTATAATATAAGCTCCGGCATGCTTTCATCTAACATTCAATGACCCGATCGGTCTCATATAATGCGCAGTTTTATGAACACTTATGTTCATTTCATATGACAAGCTCATACATTTCTAACACGGCCCGCTTGGCCGAAGACATCCTGATAAATCCACCGTTTTACTCTGATGCGTGTTCCGTAACCGCGGTGGCATTCATACATGATCAGCAATAATCGCCGGACTTGAGCACACGTGTGGGCCTCACGACTTTTGACATCAGGTCAACTCTTGTCATGTTATTCGTGAGCAGAGCTGAGATATGCACGCCATATTGGTGTCGAGACGAACTGAATTGCAGACCGGCTTTGACAGGATTTCTGCTGTTAGGTTGACATGCATCTCAATTGGAATGTATCAGATCATAGCGCGTGTCATAAGTTCTGGTGAATGATTGATGCAGGGGTCCATCGAGATGCTTGTTAAACTGGTTCGAATATCGAGAGTCAGACAGTTTTATGTCTCCCGTTAGTAGGTACATTGTACATTTATTCATGTGGCTTCGCTACTACGTTCACGTTCAAAAGTCTGTTGCTCCTTCTTGAAGAAATGCACGAGCACGTGTGCTTCTTTTTAGCTTGTCATGGTGTTTAATGCTCGCTCACGTTCAGTTCATACCGGTTCAAACTAACTCCGCAACAGTTCATATTTATCTACAGTTTGTATCCACATCATGCGAAAATCATCCCATTTGTCTCCGAATCCATGGCCAAAAGGCGACTCAAGGTTAGACTGGATAGGCTATCTTTTTACTGAGTTCCGACTTCGCCCCCATGACGCCGAGCGTTGCTATGTGTGTGTAGAATATAAACTGAGGTGTACACGAGTCTACCATTATGACCCTATCCGCCCATCGTGTTTGATCGACGGGCTTTAGTTTTGTCACGTTTTTCGCGTCTTCGTTTTTATATCGCTCTTCCCTTCGCCTTCGCTCCCCTCCGCCGTGTGTTATGCCTCCGAGTGCGTGAGGTTTCCATTTCTGACGCTAGATGTCTCTGTGTGTCGGCAGTTCCGGCGGCCCCTTACCAGGACGATGACGATGATAGCAGCAACAGCCCCCAGTCGATCAGCACGAGCACCAAACTGCGAAGATGGGCGGCGGTAAGTCAACAAGGAACGCGCGTGGACGCGGCAGGGGGTGATGTGGGGGTCTCACCATCTGGGAGCCCATGATGGTTACGAGCAGTGTTGGTTTTTCGTAACGTGATTTATGATGATGTCTGGGTAAGCACTGGCATAATTTGGTGCAGCTTGATGATCCATTGTTTGTCTGCATTGATAATGATCGCTTTTTCGTTTTTGTGGAGTGGACGTTGATAAACTAAAGCTTATTTTTCTTAGGTGTTGTTTTTATCCGCTGGGACTGAGAGCGTGAGATGATGTTTTTCGTACTCCAGCGTAGATGGGTAGCCATACGGCTTCCACGGTTGACAGTGATGGCATCAGTCATCTTTTGCAAGCTCGTTAAAGATTTGGGCGAATTTGTATGTCTTATCCTCTCCGTCTAACGTAATATCAGCGCTCAGCAAAAGCCTTTAGGTCGTGTTACTCAAGGCTCGCCGGGAGCAAGAGCATGTTATTACAGAATAGGCATTTCCCTCAATCTTATCCCAAATCACCAATACGAAAATAAGATGAGAAGCGAGAACTTCTTTCTCTCTGATGGTGATTTTCGTTTTCAGAACCGCGCCAGTCGACTCTGCTCGAAGGAGACGCTGTACGGCACGCTACCCATCCTCACCTGGGGTCCCAAGTACACGCGCGAGGACCTGCTTGGTGACGTGATTGCCGGCCTGACCGTGGGTCTGACCGTCATCCCTCAGGGCATCGCCTACGGCATCCTGGCCGGCCTACCCGCTAACGTGAGTTTATTGATGGTAGCGAGTAGGGTGGAAGGGAAAGGGAGAGGGTTTGAATGCCATAGTCTCTGACTCGCTCTGTTTTGTTCTTCGTAAAAAAAAAAAATGTTCTGGTTTTGGTGTGTAGTTCTGCTGGTTGTAGTTTGTGTCAGAGATTGTTGGTGTTGGGTTTTATACTTATCCAAAATTTTTGACTGCATAAGTCGCAATATCCTGTGACAGCATCCATGCTAGTGGTTACTGGTTTCAAGGCTTGCTAGTTTACCCAGACTGTTACAGCGTCAGTCCATTCTCAGGGCTCAACCAAACCATGCCTGCTACCTGACTCTCCTGGACCGAAACTTACCATCCGTCTATCCAGGACCAAGCCTAAATATTCATCCATCCGGGACCAATACCCAACATCCGTCTCTCCAGGTCCGAGAGCCACCATCCTTGTATCCGGAACTGAAACCTGCCAGCTGTTCATCCGTGACGGAGACCTACCATTGCTCAATCCGGATCCTAGGTACCTACTCTCTCTGTCGCACTGATCCATTCGCACATGTTTTACCGGCGCCAGACTAAGCCGATTATAGAATTTGCATGCGTATAAAAGTGCTGCTTCTGCACTTCTCTCTCATGTCATTGGTTTTTCGAGCCTCGTCATCTCAAGCATTTGTTAGGGTGGTGCCAATGGCAATGAATTATGGTACGGACGGGACTGTGCGGAGTGCATATTGCTGTGGGCGTATTTTTTATGCCCATCTAAGGCGTGCCTATTTAACGCCTATCAAATTTGTCTTACGCATGCCTAATGTCACATGTTGTATTTTCGTATCTATCCTGATGCCTATTTATCTCTGGGATCCAAAATGAATTCAATCAACCTCCGTTCTCTCTGTTTTGCAGTATGGTCTATACAGCGCTTTCCTAGGCTGTTTCATCTACTGCATTCTCGGCTCGACCAAAGCGATCACCATCGGACCCACGGCTATCATGGCTCTAATGACGCACGAGTACGGTTACCATGGAAACCCGCAGATGGCGACCCTGCTAACTTTCTTCACGGGATTGATCGTACTTGCTGCCGGCTTCTTGCAACTCGGTGAGTAGAATGTTGTGAGGTCTAAACTCTGAGCACGATTTTTGTGTACTAAGATCGACATCGGAGGTGTTCAGGTTCGAACAAATTGCTCAAGAGTTCGGTCGGTTGTATTGTGGCGTTACACTGATCTATTATTTTGCATTGCAAATGCGGAAATTATGTCACCTCATTCCCTATACCGATAGGAATGATTAATGGGGTCGCTGTTGTTGGTGAAAAGTCGATGCAAATGCCGTTTCCTGTGTGACATGTAACAGGCCGCCTTCATATCGGAACAGCAGCTATGACCTTTTGGTAGAAGAGATGGCAACGAACGCTAAGCAGAACTCAAGCCCGGGGTCTTGGTGATATCACGTGACACCACGTGACACCATGTCTCACCCTGTTGTGACTATTCAGTGGACCACGCTGGGGGCACATGGCATTACATAACCCGCTCCTCTGCCTCCCTGTATGACAAATGGCTGTCTCCCCCTGACAAGCTGTGTTGTCTGGTCATCACGCAGGTTTTCTGATCGACTTTATGTCGGCACCGGTGGTGTCGGGCTTCACGTCCGCTGCAGCCATCACCATAGCAACGTCGCAACTCAAGGGCATCTTCGGCGTCAAGGTATGGGCTGGTTTGTCCAGCAACGACTGTTTCGTGTACTAGGCGGTGTTCGTCAATCGTTTTATGGCGTGATGAAACTTGAAGTGGCATGGAGTCCTATCTTTAGAATGGACCGGACGTTTTGTCAATGCAGATTTAAAGCGACTGGGGGCGGTAGGTCTGACTGGTTTTGGGAACTGCTCATTACAATGCACCTGAGCTGGCTTTAGCGAGCTGGTTGCCTATTTATTTGGTGTGGGATCTTACCGTAACGGTGCGTGATGGAAACGAGCGGTTCTATTTGTGTACGTGAATTACCTACTTTAATTCAGAATCCACTTCTTGGCGTATGGATCAATTTGGTTGAAGGAACTTAATTTATCTTCAGTGTGAAACCAGAGCTCTCCTTGGCCACACGTGGATCAATCTATGCAGCATTTTGATGTTATGTTTAAATAGGAGCAGAGCACATTAAAGTTCTGAACGATTTGCGTCTCATAATGTAATCGGTTAACTAAACACACGTTCCTTACTAGTCCAAAATCATGTGTTGACCAATAAATTAATTAACTATAAGAATGTCGACGTGGCCACTATTTGTTTATCAGTTTCTAATACACCTTTTTGCACTCAAAATAGGCATCTTTTCATTCAATTTCGGCGAATCGCATTCAATTTTAGCGATCTCTCATTTGCTTCGAATAGAGAGATCGCTAAAATTGAATGCAATTCGCCGAAATTGAATGAAAAGATGCCTATTTTGAGTGCAAAAAGGTGTAATACCAGTATAACGCCTTTTGGGGCGACTAACGGAGCGAGCGAGAGGGTGAGCCTTGCACGTGCGAAATTTCGACGAGGTACCTCCAGCTGACTTGTGCACGGCACCCTACTAACCGGTCTCTAGCGATGTGCCAAATTTGAGCACAATCGGCCCAGCCGTTCTCGAGATCTGGAAGCGGCACCCTGCACGTGCGCACGTGCAAAATGGGTCCCAACTGAGTTTTGCACGGCACCCTACTAACCGGTCCCTAACAATGTATCAAATTTGAGCGCCATCGGTCCAGCCGTTCTCGGGATCTGGAATCGCCCCCTGCACGTGCGCACGTGCAGCAGCACCCCAATTCTGGCACATGGATATGCATTGCCTAGTGGGTGCCTACCTTCATGCCAACTCTCAGCGCAATCGGCCCAGTAGTTACCGAGATATTGCAACAATTACAAAAGTGACACCTCTTCGTTTTGCACGTGGCACGTGCATAAGGGGTCACCCACATGCATCGGGAATAGTGCAATACTTGGTAGAATGAATGAAGCTACCCTACAAAAATTACCGCATGTAAATCGGTCAAGTGGTTGCTGAGATATAAGCCTCGCAAAAGCGTGACCACGGCCGGCCGGCCGCTCATACTCAGAAATTTCCGTTAATCTAAGGAAAGACTATATAGGCTCGCTTCGCTCGCTCCGTAATTACCGACTTTTTCCTCCAGGTGCATGGTGAAGGTATCATCCACACATTCGAGGATCTGGTCAAGAACATCGGTGACACCAACTATAACGACCTGGCGCTGGGCATCACGTGCTGTCTCATCCTCATTGCCATGAGGGTGAGTATGAGGGGGCACCCCTGCTCGGAGGAACATCGCCGACTCTCTCTCTCTCTCTCTCTCTCTCTCTCTCTCTCTCTCTCTCTCTCTCTCTCTCTCTCTCTCTCTCTCTCTCTCTCGCTCTCTCTTTATTTCTCCTCTCATTGTATCGCAGATTTGTTCAAGCTCATTCATGTCTTCACTTTCAGGCGTTGAATAAGCTACCAGTAGCCAATATCATACGCGACCCTCATTAACACCTTTGCGAAATGATAACCGCTACTTCCGATCACCATTTGAACCCTCGCTCCCCACACACACTGTCTAACCCCCGCCCCCTCACCGCAGGAGATGAAGCGTATTCAGGTGGTGGGGCCTGGCCACGGCAACAGTCGGACGCGCGAAATCCTCCAGAAGTTCATCAAGTTCACGTCGATCGCCCGAAATGCTATTATCGTGATGGCTGCAGCGGCTATGGTTGCCATTATGCAGGCACATGGTCTGAAGCCGTTCTCGATGACAAGTGAGTTGTGGAACGTGGGGTGGTGTTTGGTGGGTTAGAATTCATGCTATGCTAAATTGTTTTAGCTCGGACAAAAATTGTTCTATATAGAGCTGATTGTGGATGAGTGGAATGTCGTTGTTTTCACATTATGCACAAGTCATAGTGGTAAAAGGACACAAAACGTTAACGATATGCAGATATTATGCAGTGTTCTTGATTTATCAAAGCAACAAGCCATCAGATATCTCATTGTTCAAAATCATGATTGGCAGTTATACTGTGAGTGAACCAAAACAAATGTAGCGCCGCCAGCTGTGCTCCCTAGGTTACTTCCCACCACACACCACTACCCGCTCCCCGCGTCTCTAACCAGGGTTGGCAAATTTATGCCAGCAGCCGGTTTAAACCGGTTTAATCCATGGATTAAACCGGCTGGCATAAACTAATTTAAGCCACCCCGGTTTAAACCAGTGTGCACCAACATAATAAATGCCACTTACGTTAACTTGTCGTAACATCATTTAGGTTAAACTGCTTCTTCTCTTCACATTTTCTATACACACCTTTCAATTTTACATGCTAACTTGTAATGTTTTTTTCCTGGGGGTTAACTTTATGTCATTCATTATTGATCTGTTTCCTGTATCAAATGGTTATTTTGATCTGCAGTGTTTTACACAACTATATAGCTGTTTACATGGGTGGTTCATGGAATGAAAAGTCTTGGAGACAGCCTCAATAAAGAAACCAATTTCGATTCTATGAGAAGCTGTAGCAAACATGACCTTATGCCAAATGCATGGTGCAAGGATCAGTGAATGGTAAGGCCTAAAAACTATCATACAGATCATTGCCTATTTACTAGGGAACTGTCTATTGCTTAAGCAGTCAGTGACACTAAACAAAGGAATTGACAGCACTGAGCACGGCCACCATTATAGGCTCCAAAGTTCATGTAAAAAACAATAATAAGTGTGATTAGTTAGGGACACTGTTATACCAAGAAAACAACATGCACTACCAGAACAAACGCAAGCCATAGGAACATTCCAGAAGATTTATAAATGATGAGTTGTTACAATTATTTCCTGTGCCATTAAAAAAATCACCGAATGGGTGATACCGTGATAATTTTTTTCTAGTGTTACTGGCCCAGTCCCCAGACGCTTGGTCAGAATACATTTTACATGTAAAATAAAGTGAGACTTTCAACTGGTAAACCGAATGTTAAGATTAGAATGTGCTTATGCCTTATACCTACTTTGTTTCTTAGCTTAGTTACCTACTGACCAGATTGACAACATAATCACATGCCAAAATGTTGACATAATACCAAATGACACGGCATTGACTTCCTGCACTCTGCACCGTCACCAACGAGTACACTGACCCACAAGATAGGTTATAGTAGATGTTTTGACTGAAGGTGGTTTTTATTAATTTAAGCCGGTTTAAACCGGTTTAAACCGGTTAAAACCACTGGCTGGCATAAATTCAATTTAAGCCGGCTTTTATCCAACCCTGTCTCTAACTCTACCTAACTCCCCGCTCTACCCGCAGAGTCTGTCGAGGCCGGCCTGCCGACTCCGTCACCACCGGCGTTCTCCATCTGGGACCCGTACCAGAACCGTACCATGTCCTTCTCCGACATGACGTCGGCCCTGGGCGCCGGCCTGGGCATCATCCCCCTGCTGGCGGTCATCGAGAACGTGGCCATCGCTAAGGCTTTTGGTGAGTGAGGGGTGGGGGTGAGGGAGGGGAAGGGGCGGGGAGGGAAGTGGGGCTTGTGAGAGATTATTTATCTTGAAGGTGTTTTGATGTTGAAATGAATGACTTGGTAGGGGTGAGGGTTAGGCTTAGTCGTCATATTTTCAGGGATTAGAAAGAAATAGTCGTGGCATTGGTCTAGCTGTTGTCTTAATTTTTCTTGTCTTAATTTCCATAGTATACCATGTCTTGCTCTGTTTGGTTAGTAGATGTGTAGCTATTATATTTTCCAACTGCAATCGTTCCTAGCTCAGTGTCATACTGCCCTTTCAAGGCCACGCCTCTCAACCGGCTCTCTCATCGGTCTCCAATTTCTCTCCTCACACAACCCTCTCTCAGGACCCCTTCTGAGGCTCTCAGGCGCCCCTTCTGAGGCTCTCACGCCCCTCTAATTTCGCTCTCATGTGCCTCTCTTTTCATCCCACGCCCATCGTTCGCACGGTTCTTGCGACATGCTGTATCAGTTTCAACCCTCTCGCCATGGCTGGTCTCCTCTCTCTCTCTCTCTCTCTCTCTCTCTCTCTCTCTCTCTCTCTCTCTCTCTCTCTCTCTCTCTCTCTCTCTCTCTCTCTCTCTCTCTCTCTCTCTCTCTCTCTCTCTCTCTCTCTCTCTCTCTCTCTCTCTCTCTCTCCCATCTCTCTCTCTCTCTCTCCCATCTCTCTCTCCCTCTCTCTCTCTCCCACTTACTCCCCCACTCTACCCACCGACAGCCGAGGGGCAGCGGATTGATGCCACCCAGGAGATGATCGCTCTGGGCATCTGCAACCTGGTCGGCTCCTTCTTCTCTTCGATGCCGGTGACAGGATCGTTCAGCAGGACGGCTGTCAACAACAGCTCCGGAGTGCGCACGCCACTGGGAGGCATCTTCACCGGTGAGTGGTTACGTCAGAGGGTTTTGGAGTGACGTCAGTGGGTTTATAGTTATGTCACGGGGTTTGTGGGCAAAGGAATTTTGGTTTGTGGTGGCAGTATTTGGGGATGGGGTGGAGGTCAATGAATGGGAGGTGAATGGATTGTTGTGGGGATGATCGAAGCACCAATTGTTCATACTCATAGGTGATAGAAAGCTTGGAAGGTAGATAAAGAAGGTTTAGTAATTTAATATTTAGTGATGCATGGGTTCTCTTTTTGTTTCACAATCATGAGTGAGGTACCAAATGTACATGGTTCATTTTTTTGGTGTCTTACCCTTTTGCTTCATAAAATCTAAAACCAAAATAAAAGATTGATTCGCATTGAATCGGTGTTTGTTTGGAATCTCAACACCATGTTGACTTTCAAACCAGCGCTCTATATCGTGTTCGAATTGCAAACGGTGCCGCGTCAGCGCGCGCGCATCTCTGTCGAAACGGTAACGGTGACTGCGCGTCGCAGATCCGGCGACATTATACACAATCTGGCCTTATCTGGCGCGGAACATTGTCACTTCCCGATTGCGACACTCCCGGTACATACCAGCGGACGGCTGTTCAGCGCCGAGCGCGTTCATCATATTCAAAAGACAGGCGCCTGAGTCTGTTCTGTATGAAGAGACAGGCGTCAAAGTCGCGTCTGGATGAATCTGGAAGTGTAGGGAGTGGCTTCGGTCTTGTATGGGGTTGTTCTGCACGTGCGGCGGACACATGTGGTTATGTAGGCGCCCTGGTGGCGCGGTGGAATGAATCGTGTTTTTGGACTGATGCTGACGAAAACAGACGTTGGTGTGTCGTTCGATGATGTAGATGGAGACCCTGACGCCAGATTATGTCGCTGGAAGGTATCGCCAGGCAATGTTGCCAGTCAGTGTCGAGGTACAATGTCGCTGTGTTGCGGCCTGGTATTCGTACTGGCCAGCCGGCAGCCGGTAGTGGAAAAGTACCGGACTGGGATGGCTGTCTAGGCAATGAGGCGGATATGGCGTGATGGTCCTCTGCATTTACTGGCTATGAACCGTTATGGCAGCTGGCATCCCAACACAACAAACTCGAAGTGGAGGTAGCTTGGGAAGCTTCCGGACCTAGTTACTGATTTTTTCGTTTTTTTTTCGTTTTTTTTCTCATTCCTGTCAAGTGGAGCTCTTATATGCTGGGCACGGGGCAGCGTCCTGTGATAGTATACGGTCCCTAATTGTCGATATTTCCTCTTCACCACAACGTTTTCAACATGAAGCCTGCTCACCTCTTCCTTTCTCTTTCTCTGTTCCCCATGTTGTGCTCCCTAATAACTGCTCCGCTGCTCTTCCCCTGCCCGTTTAACACTCCCTCGCTCTCTCTTCGCTGACAGGTCTTCTGGTGATGCTGGCTCTGCAGTTCCTCACGCCTTATTTCGTGTTCATCCCGAAGGCTACACTCTCGGCCGTCATCATCTGTGCTGTCATCTACATGATAGAGATCGAGATCGTGCGGCCAATGTGGCGCAGTAGACGTAAGTGGCGTTCTGTGGGAGTTTGTAATGCCACGCCCACTTTTTGTTTGTTTACGTTTTCCGCATTCGTATGGAATCATGCTAGCAGTTCTTCTCGAGGGTTACAATCCAAAAAATATTGCTCTTTATCTTATTCTTTATTTCTAGCGATATCTCACATGATAAGCTTTAACTGTATTCGTCGTTAAATTGCAATTTGTTACGTTTTTTTCTTACGTATCTATATGCGACTATCGACTATATCTAGACATATAAGTGCACGAGTTTTGTGATGCATTCCTCTCATGAAAGGGTTAAACACCTTAGCATTCATTACCGGGTCGTGCTCTCCATTCTGACCATTCGCCCTCCCCTGCTGCACAGGTCTGGACCTGATTCCGTTCTTTGCCACCTTCTTCACGTGCATCTTCTGGGGCCTCGAGTACGGCATCGGCGTCGGCACCATGATCAGCCTGGGCATGATCCTGTTCAAGGCCGCCCGACCCAAGGTCGTCATCACCGAGAAAAAACTGGTGAGTGCAGCAGTGCAGAGCTGATGCGGTATGGGAGGAAATTGTGTGGTGATGTGCCTACTGTGAGTTGGATGAATGACATTGGTACTGACCATTTGCTGCTCTTTTCATAAACATTTCTATGAATAGGCCCTGGAAGCGTCGAAAGTAAGGTAGAGAGCTTTAGTTATGTTTCGTAAGATTAAGAGCTACAGTTTACTTGTCTTGCTTTGTGCTGATTGATCTTATGTTTACGGTCAACTACTTCAAGCACAGCCGTGAGCCGTCTGAATCAATAATGGTTTTAAGCTGGGCTCTTACATATTTTGTATATTTTTAAAAAACTCAATAAGTCCCCGTCACTCGCTCATACCTCTAACGTCCCCCCCCCCCCCTGCACAGCCGGGTTCCTCGCAGGTATACATCTACGTGTACCCGGACTCTGGCCTGACGTACCCGGCCGCCGAGCACGTGCGGGCCGTGGTCACCGACGCCGCCGTCATTCACGGGAACAGTGTGGAGCCGGTGGTGTTGGACTGTAACAACGTGCGCTACTCGGACTTTACCTCGGCTGAGGTGAGTGTGATGAGGAGAGGGGGAGGAGAGAGAGAGAGAGAGAGAGAGAGAGAGAGAGAGAGAGAGAGAGAGAGAGAGAGAGAGAGAGAGAGAGAGAGGGAGAGTGGAAGGAAGAGGAAAGAGAATATAGGAATGGAGGAGCAGAACAGAGGAATGGAGGAATGAAAATGTGGCATGCAAGCTGGATGGGGATAACGAAAAGAGTCGAATGGGAAAATTACAAAGGTAAATGAAACAGCTGACGAGAGACGGAGTTATATTTGCAAGATTTTGGTTTTGACACAGGCCTTGAAACGGAACGATAATGTCAGTGTCGTGGCTATACCGATTGATCCATGCATGTTCTTCTTTAACCCCTTCCGTCCCTCCACTCGCCAGTGTATGAACCTGCTGGTGAAGGAGTTCCGCGAGCGTCACCAGCAGCTGATCTTTGTCGGCATGAAGCGCAGCATTCGCTCGTGCTGGGACGGCGCCGGCCACTCGGACGGACGAGTCAGCTGTGCTACCGTGGCCGACGCCGAACAGCTTATCGCCGGTTAGTGCGGGGGAGCGAGGGGAACTTAAACTGCGGTGGACGACCTTAGCCTGAGGGGAAGCAGGGTGAAGGGTAAAGTTGTAGCGGTTTATGCTTATGGCGATTGGACGCGTATTTGTGTGGTGTTGGCCAGTAGTTTGGACTCAAACGTATTTTCAATGCGCTGTTTCTCGGCGTAGGTGCTTGCTGAATGTAGACCATTACCTCAGAGTACGAGTATGGTACGTTACAGAGTACAGAGGAGAAAAGTACGCTTTGTAGTGATGGCGGTTGATAGTTTTCCTCAATGCCCATGGCAGCTTGCTACCTTATCTTTCAGATGTACATTTAATTTTCCTTAGCTTTGGGATAGCGTAGACTAACAATATGCCCCGTTTCCAGATCACTGCAACGCCCCCGAGGTGAAGGTGGACGGCGCTGGCGGCACGGAGGCCACGGCGTGATCGCGCCACCTGTCGCAGCGCGGCGCAGTAAAAGTGTGCGCCGCGGCCGCTAGGCGGCAGCACAGTCGGCCGGCCAGCCCGCCCGTTGTTTGTAGCGCTGTGGTCCGCGGCGTGGAGTGACGCGGCTCTGCGCCAAACAGACGGACCGAGTCAGTATTGCGGAGCGCTGGAAGACGGAGGACCGACTCTTGCCCGCCTCTGACCAGTGTCCAGTGAGAGAGAGAGAGCGAGGAGCGCGCGCTCTTATGCCGGAGAGAGCATAGGAGTGGTGGGGAGAGTGTGGGAGGAGACGCATCCGCCGCCGCCTAAAGCTGCGCAGAGAGAACCGCTGCGGATGGCGCGAATTACTGTCCGAATACATGTGCGCGATGGCGCGCTTTTCCAAGTGGAGTTCGTCCATTTAGATTGATTGTGACGGAAAAGTGGTCTAAATGTCGATTGTGAGGATTATATTTTGAATATTTAGCCCAGTTGTCGCCTGTACCGGCTAACCTATCGCCGGTTACGTGTTTCGCGTTGTGTGTCTCGTGTAAAGCATCATCGCAATTCGCGAGCGATGAGCTATGTTACGTATTCTTTTCGGTAGTGTTCTATACTAGAGCGTTTTCACTCTACATCCGGTTGGACCAAGTAGGTAAAGTGTAGTCTCGGATGAGGTGTGTCGTGTCGTGTGCGAAATGATGTGCCATGCTAGCGTACTGCAGTCCACGTGAAGTTATTTGAGGCGTCATTCACTTTTTACACTTTCTGTGCGTCCGTATTATTTGTTGGTCTTTGTGATTTTGTTAATCGTGTAGTTTCTGTTTTCTTCGTGAAACTAAAAGATAAAATCGATTTGTTGTGAATGGGCGACGAGAGAACGGCCATTGATGATTATTTCATTCACGTGTGTACGAGTGCGTAATATTGCGTAATATTAACTCATTCCACTTTAGTGCCGCTCCGAACAATGGGAGACGCTTCGAGTTTTAACGAGTTAATTATGATAAAATATTTTAAAACTGATATATTGACACACGGCACTATTTTATCGATCGTTTTCTTTGACCCCTCTTGATTGATTCAGCCTGCCGCGCGCGTGTGTGTCTGTCCGTTATATCTGTTTTTATCTGTCCTTGTCTGCATGTTTGTGTGTCTGTGTGCGCGGCAACTGGCTGACCAATTCGCTTACGATGCGTGCTGACTATGTATTTTTGCCTATATAAGCATTATGCAGTGAATTGTGCTGTAATATACCGCGCATCGCATATTCTGGTGTTTATCAATTTCATGGCGACGGGGGATTTCGAGGAAATAGGTATGAATGTTCATCATGAGCACCTATTATTTATCGAAGGCTATGACTCATGCAGAACTTAACTGTACTTCACCACACGTAGTAAAGCCCTTAAGAAACTCCTAAAACGAGGCACAGTATCCCGGTTGTCATTTAAAGGTAGTGTGCCACCTTTGAAAGATTTCCCATTTTATTTTTCCTAGGATAAGAAGCTTCTGTTTTTACCTAATATCGCAAAAAAAAAAATCAAAAATGGGCCTGGAATAGTGCCTTTTTCGCCTAAAAGTTTATCGGTTTTTAGATATGTATAACAACTGTAGTGGGCTCACCTGCAAACAGGCGTCGGGCAACAATCGCGAATGCGGCGCACTTGTGACAATAAGCAAAGGTCATTATAGTGTTACGACCATACGACGTACGGGAATGAGTTATCAGCTGTCTAATCGTAGACAACACAATGTCGAGCCTTAAACTGTAAGCCCGTATTGGTATTGTTTCTTTTATTTGGCTGTCGAACATTATTTATGGTTTGAAATATGATTTTATGTAAAATAATTGATATGAAAAAGCCGTCTTATAAGTTATGACCCCATTTCACCACACGCAAGTGGCAGAAATGACAATGATCAGCTGACGCATTTTTCTTGGCCGAAGTCAGAGCGCGCGGCCCGACGCACCACGCGTATTTGGAAATTCCGACCTCGACGAGCATCAGAAGCCACCTAACAGGCGTGTTCGAAACCGCAGGAGATGATGATGAACGGGTTTATCGAAACTTGATTGGATGAGCATATCGGTAATAGCGATTTCAGTGTGTGCATTTATTGTTCATAGTGGTGTGAAATGTGGTTGGGGTACGACCGACAACCCGTCGGGGCGAATTTCGCACTGGGGTACTCAAAATTTGAAGAATTTAAGACGTTTCCATGAGTTTTGAAGGTATGGATAAGTTCTAAAAATCCGGTTCTCCTTATCTGGGCCATTAACTCCATACGGTCCAAGAAAGCTGGCACACTACCTTTAACCCACGAGCCGCTGGGGGGGGGGGCATAAAGTTGCCCCCCCTTTACGTTTTGTGAAATATCTCCGAAACCTGATGAGCTACGACCGTGAAACTTGGCATAGCTTCAAATGAATACCTAGGCAATGTTTGAGGAAAGTTTGGTGGTTGTAGCACCTAAGATGACGTCACAGTGACGTCATAAAGTTTTGTCGTTTTCCGACATGGACCGTTTCTGATGACGCTGAGCATGAAACTTAACTGTAAATGAACTAGACAGCACCTGCTGTCATCCTAAAACATCTAACTACACTTCCATCTAGTTTTTGACCAATAATCGACCCTTTATATTCGGTCCCATATATCTGATGTATCGTGAGGAATATGAGAGTCGCAAATCTATAATTTCACTTATGACGTCAC